GGCAGCGTCTCGGCGCCCGAGGGCCCCTTTCCGGACCGCCTGGTGGACGTCGGCGGCGCTGGGACGCTGTCCCACAGCTACCGGTATGAGGTGTGCCTCACTGGAGACTCTGGTACTGGTGAGTTCAACTTCCTCAAGCCACCATTTCCCAACCTCCTACCCCAGGGTTTTGGGGAAGAAACAGAAGGAAATGCTGTTGTCCGGAATAGTTTTGGGTTCCAATAGTGATCTGATAACTATGCAGTGTTTTTTGCACGTATCCCTAAATTACAAAGATATAGAAGTGTACATAAACATTTCGCCTTCAGACATAGCTTTGATTTTTCTTGTAATGGATTTTTCTGTTGAATTTTATCTTCAGCAGTTTGCAAAATTCCACTTTTTATCATGATGCGAGGGATAGAACCCATGACCCAATTTGTTTGTACCTTAGCACTGAATTGTCCCCCATTCAATTCTACGTATTGCACTCATTTACATATTGTTATTCCAAATTATTATTGTTATCCCAAATCCATGTGAGCTGTTTGCTTTCCTGAGATTTGTTTTATCTTCTTGGTATTTGTTTTCATGAGCCATCTTAATAAAATCAAAAAAATTATTCCTATATTCTACATATTCCAAGCCTTTTCTTTCTTCGTACTTTCAGTATATTTGATGCAAAATTGAAAATAGAAGATATTTTACATTTTCTTCTTTTTAATTGTTTTCTACACATAACATCAAATATGATGTTACTTATGAAAATGTGATGAAGTGTAATAATCTTGTAGCTACTCTTTATCAGGCCTGATCCTGATTGGCATCCTTTCCCCCCCCCCCGATACTGGGGATTGAACTTGGGACTTTGTGCTTGCAATCTGGGTGGCGGAACCACTAAGAAAAATCCCCAGCCCTGCCATACATTTATAAGCACATTTTTAAATTGAATTATAGCATTCCTAAAATCATTAATGTTCAGCCCAATTCAACTACTTGAAGTAAACATACATGAAGTAAACATACACAAGTAACAGTGTGAGTCATTAGCAGAACTCTAGGTGCTACACAAATTACTCCTTACAATCACTATTATACCAAGTATCACAAACATGCTGACTTCCAATAAGAATACGTTTACTTCTGTGAATATATATATGAATGGAACAGTAGAATATCAACTGCTTTGTGTTCTGAATGCAGCGCCCTAGACCTCTTGGCCATCCTGATGGCTGCTCTGTATTGTTTCTCTCACTTGACATTATGTTTTTTAAATTTATTCACAGTATTTTTAATTGTAGTTCTTTCTCATTTCTGTATAGTTTCCACTGGATGAGTATGCCACAATTTATTGTAATTCTGCACATAGATATTTGGAGTGATGCAAGGTTTGACTGTTATGAGTAATATCCCTATGAACATTCTATTTTTCCCCTATAAACATTCTTGTACAAGCCTTTGGGAAGATATGTATGAGATAAAATTAAAATATATGGTGAATATTTAAATTAAAATCTCATTACAGTAAGGTACATTGCCATTAATCTCCCTAAGAATACTTCTTCCTCACTTCAAACTCTCTTTTCCCATATGTTCTTGCCAGTTTCTGAGGCAGTTGTAGAAGTCCTTTTTTGTGAGTGTTTTTATGGAATGTGACAAAAAATATGGTGAATGGTGCTCCGTGTCATCCAGTGAAAATAAAAATATTGTACTGTGTCCTCATCTACCTTATTCACTTGAACTGGTACCATGTAACTTCTGGCTCTTCTCCAAAGGGAAAGAATCACAAAGGGCAGATATTTGAATCAATACAGGACACTAAGGCACCCAGGATAGCACAATTAAAGGCCCTCACAAAGGAGGACTTCCAGAACTGCTTCACAAAGTACTTAGAACAACAGAGGATACATGTGTTCAAAGCAAGGTAGAGTATTTTGGTGAAAAGGGGAAATGTCTTTTATTCTAATAATTTTTAATGTTTTAAAAAATGTTCACTATATTATCACACCTTACATTTACATTTCTGTTGGTTCTCTATCTGGGGGTAAAATTTATGTGCCTATAGTAAGTATTAAGTACACTTTTAGTAGTTGTTTCCAAAAAACAATTCCCAAAGTGGTTGTATCGACTCATATTGCTAATTAGAAATATCTTTTTTTATTCATTAGGTTTATTGGTACATTTTAGGTGTACAATATGATGACATGCATCATTGGGAATTTGCATCTTTACATGATGTATCTTGGTTCTTATTTTTCCCCCATTCCCCTGCCCCTCCCACTTCCCCCTCTCTAGTTTCTTATTCTTTAGGCAATGTCTTACTATATGAAATCCTCCACATCCTTGCCAAAATGTGATAGTGTCTGTTTTTTCATTTAACCTATTGCAAGGTACCTTTAAAGCTCTTTTTATATTTACTTTCTTATCACTATGGAATGTTTGTAATTGTTATGGGTTGATTTGTGTTTTATCTCCCAAATTCATATATTGAAGCTGTAACCCTGCCTACCTCAAAATGTAACTGTATTTAAGCCAGGTGTGGCACTGCATGCCTGTAATCCCAGCACTCCTGAGTCTGAGGCAGGAGGATTGCTATGAGTTCAAGACCAGCCTGGGCTAGTAGTGACATTAAGGCCAACAAGAGCTACATATTAAGACTCTATCAAATAAATAGAACATTACTGTATTTAGAGATACAGTTTTAAAGAGGTGAATATGTTAAAATGATGTAGTTAGGATAGGCTCTAATCAAGTATTACTGATATCTTTCTAAGAAAAGTTTAGATGAGACAGATACCATAGAGGTGATACATGGACGGATGATCATGTGAAGACATCAGAGGAAGATGATACAAATTAAATCTGTCAGTAACTTAATGTTGAACTTCTAGCCTCCAAAACTGTAGGAGATACATTTCTTTCATAGTATTTGTTGTGGCAACCCAGAAAAGTAATACAATAATGTAATTACCACACTTAAAGTAACTTCAGTTATCCATACTTCCCATCTAGATATATGACTCTTCTTAATCCTTTTCTGGTCAAACTGAAAATACCATTTACTGTTTAATAATAAGGATTATTATTATAATTTGTATCTTTAAAGAAATAAAATGAATAGCATTCTTGTTATTCCTTTTGTATCAGTTTCTCCCTTATGCTTTTTAGCCTCCCTCTGTTGAACATCTACTTTTAAACGGTCAAATTTGATGACCTTTTTGCAACCAAAGCTGTCTGTTTACATCATCTTTACATCTATAACTAAGGACTCCTTGTCTATAGATATATTTTAGAATCTTAAAATGAATATTTAAAATTTACTTTTCATGAAAATATAAAGTGTAAGTTCCCCAGACCAAAAAAATCACCAGGAACACACTTTATTAAAACAAACTTGTAAGCCCATGCCATGTTGCATGCTAGTAATCCCAGCTACTCAGGAGTCTAAAGCAAGGGAATCCTCCTGGGCAACATAGTGACACCTTGCCTCAAAATAAAATTTTGAAAGGGGTCGGGGATGAAGCTTCATGGACGAGTACTCACTTAGCATGTATAAGGTACTGAGTTTAATCCTTAGTGTCCCAAAAATGCAAAGAAATTTGGGTTTATTAATTCATTGCAATTAATGAGGTTGCACACAATAGAAAACAGTGAATCACTTTTCTTACTCTTAATAAAAAAGGTGTAGAATGTAAGCTTATATTAGGTGATTTTGGGGAGAGTTCGGGGAAGTATGGGTTAGCTCTGTAGTAGGTATTTTCAGAAAGTGGGATTAATGAATGAATGAATGAATTAAATTTTTTTGGCTTTTTGAGACAGAGTCTCACTATGTAGTTGAGACTGACCTGGAACTCATGATGTAGCCCAGGCTGGTCTCAAACTCATAGCGATCCTCCTGCCTCAGCCTCCTGAGTGCGAGTGCTGGGATTACAGGCATGTGCCACCACTCCCGGCTTAGTGGGATTAATTTAATGTGGGGTATCTTAGTGAAGTTTTTGGGGAAATGAGAAGAGCAAAGTGAAATTAGGCCTGTAATGTACAGAAGCACTGTTTGCTCATATGTGTAAGGAAATGGGTGTCCTTAGTCATTGTTTTGGTTTGGACAACATTCTTGTTTTGTCTTGCTGAAGCATAATTTTATTTTAGATTTGCTTAGACAGAGTCACAAGGGTCTTTTCCAATGCCATATTCAACAGAAAAAGATCATGACCCACCCATAAGTGCCAGGATATTTACTGCTTCTCAGGGGCTGAGTCTCTCTCAAAATTTTATTCATTACAGAGCCATATTACTCATGGTAAGGGCTATCTTTCTTGCCCTTTGGATCTAATGTTGTCCTTCCTTTGGCACTGAAAGAATGTTCCTAAAATCAAGATTAGATCTAACCTTTAACCTTATGAGTTGACTTTACCACATCTTTAAATATTCTCAAGTTCTCGATCAAGAATTCAATTTCCCTTATTTCTTTCTGAAGTCCACTATCTTTTCATTTCTGTGTGAATTAAGTAATCTTTAAGTCTGTGTAAAGCTACCATCTTGTTTTCATTCTTCTCCTAGTTAAGTCCATTGTTTGATAGGCTGCTTCCTTTTTTTTTTTTTTGGTACTGGGGATCGAACTTGGGCTCTTGTGCTTGCGAGTCAGGCAGCAGAACCACTGAGCCAAATCCTGAGAAAAGTTTTATTCAGTTTGATTCTTGATCCATTATCTTCTTCACATATATGTAAAATATATCATTCATATGTATATATAATACTAAATGTTTTGTATATAATTTCTTCCTCAGATTTTAGAATTTTTCTTTTAGGTGACTTACATTTCATAATTGTTGTTTTTCATTCATTTTGCTGGGCAGCCAATGTACTTATATATTCTAATAATTCATACTTTTTGATGCCTGGGATAATTTCATGTCTACCATTATTCTCTTAATTGTATCTCTAACTTTATCTTGTTATTTATTTTTCAAATGAGTTCATCAGATATTGAACATTCTTAATTATTTCTTTCTGTGTCCTATCTTACTGCTTAATTTTATATTCATGTCTTTTTTTCTCTAGAATCTCTCATTTCATTTTCAGTTATTTTGAATGAACTATTAATTTAGTGGCATATTTAATCCCTACATTTCTTGTTGTTGGGTTGGGCCTTTTCTCTGGTATCATTTGGGAAATTTATTTATTTTGGAGACAGGTTCTCACTATGTATTTCAGTCTGGCCTTGGATTCACTATGTAGCCCAGGTTGGCCTAAAATGCACAGTAATCCTCCTGTCTCAGCCTCTCCAAATGCTAGGATTACAGGCGTGTGCCACCAGATCTAGCAGTTTTTCTAAATTTATTATATTTCCTGTATTGCCTATTTCCTACATAGTCAGAGTGTTTTTCTTTCTTTTTTTCTTCTTTTTGTTCTGTGATATTTTTCTGGCTTTCATGTGTCTGGTAATCCACGATTATTTGCTTGCATGTAAGAAAGAATGTGCCAGGGTTGGGATGTAGCTCAGTGGTGCTGTGCCTGCCTGTCAAGTGCAAGGTCCTGAGTTCCATCCCCAGTACTAGGAAAAAAAAAACTGGGTAGATGATGTGAAGCAGCTGCCATTTTATATATTGTCTCTGC